TCACCATCGAGGGAATGAGTTTGGGTGATTGAGCCACGCTTCCCTTGGTCATCGACCGTGCCACTTCGTCCAGACTGCCCTCCTGATTGGCAGCAGCCATGCTTGTGTTCACGCGGCGTTCTGGTTGGTTGTCCGGGCTGAAAGCGTGGCCGTTGGGTGGCGCGCGTCTCGCATGAGCTGCGATCGGCACCCCCACACCCCACCCCCCGCTGCCTGAGTGGCCTCGCGAACATGCCATGATGGTAGCGGCTACTTAAGATACGCAACGTGTTACCGTGGTTACACAACATTGTGAATCAAAGTTGCGCTTTCTGTGACACGAACGGTACCAGCACTCCTTCTACTCCAAATGAATCACAAAATGTTTCCAATGGCAAAATCTACTTAAGGATGACAAGTGACATAGTTGCTAACACTAAGGGTAGTCTCACTTCGATCAACCGGTGTTCTATCTCACATTTATCGAAAATGCATGAAAATTTGTCCAAATATCCGAGTGATTAATGCGAGATGTCGCTGATCTATTGTTACGTAGGCAATGTTTTCGTTTAGTGGTGAAATCTTTTGTTTCGCGTTAAGGTGCCCGCGCGTGACCTAGTTCTCACACTCTGCACAAAGGTGTATTCGAAATCCCGCCTGTAGAAACAGCAACAACAACAACAACAGCTGCGCCAGTAAGTTTTTCAGGACTTGCAGTTTGTGCTCGTCGGTGCTGCTGCGCGGCCCGCAACCGTGACGCCCGAGTTCACTTCAAGTAGAGAGGTGGATCAAGAAGGGACTGGTTGTTACGGCCAAGTGAGTCTCCCTCCGGGAAATCATTGCCTTACAAAAGTCCCCAGTAGCGCGAAACATCCGTGATCGCGAGTTGTGTGATTTAGGCGAGCTGCTACAATCACCTATCTTTACTCAACACTGTAGCTGCACATTTGACGTTCATTTTTAAAGTGGACTAACTTTGGCATGCTTGAAACGATTAGTAGTGATGACCACCCACACCCTTGCTAGCTACTCCTTTAATTAAAATCCACTGAATATCATTGCTGAAATTACTCAGACAGCTGGGCCGAAATGACACGCCATTTCGTGCCCACTGCTTGTCCCCCTTGCACCCAAATCATATCCTGCCTGTCGTGAGCACAGTGTACGAAACGTGTTTCGTACATGGCTTAGTGGTTGGGAGTAGAGGGGGGTGTTTGATGCGGTGCATTTAAACAGTCGAAGCTTTCATTGGGCAAAATCCTACGATTCCCAAAGATTAAACTTTAATAGGCATTGAGACAAGCAGACAAAAGAATGGCTGTTAATGCCGACAATGTCGAATTAATACAGTGATAAGACGAGGTTCGCAAGGACGACAGCAGGAGGGGTGCAAGAGCTGGAGGAGTTTGAGCGAAGTAGGCTCGCATGCAGTGAGGAGCGAACGGCTTGTCAAGACGTCTCGTATTTAAACCGTTGGTTAGGCGAAAATACAGTCCTAAAATCAGGAAGAAGTCCCTTTATAGATTTAAATTTTACGAACTTCCGAAAATTGCAGTCTTAATAAAACCTCAAAATAACTCACAAGTAGGTAGCTTTGAGGCGTATAGGATTACGGTTAAAAACAGTGAAATGAGCTGATGAGTAAGCTACCACAGTTCTGCCACATAATGCAAGAAGACTTCGCGTCGAAATGCGTCCGGTTATAGGAGGCGTGAGCTGTACCGAATAACCACTAAACCCACTCGAAAACCACTTTTACCTAAGTAAATTACTTTAGTTTACAGAAAATGCGTAGGAAAATGAACGTTCAGCTGATGACTCAAGCTGTTTGCTAATCACACACAAAGGTCGTGCTGAGATGTGTGAATTTTAATTGCGTACAAAACCAAAAGAGTGCCACGGTCTTAGGCTTTTGTTTTGTTTAATTTTAAACAAATTTCCAGAAAGAGGGGTCGACCGCATTGCTAGGCATGAAGTCTTTATAAACAAGATGACACACAAATAAACAGATTTCGGCGTTATCTTCAGGCCTGGCGATAAGGTCGACCCCTACGCTCGTCAAGATGAGCATTCGGTTTGAAAGTCTCCTTTCAATTATTCGCACACTGATGTTTCCTTGTTTATAATGGAACACGTTGAACCAAGGAGCAAAACTGAAAAATCAACGAGGCAACGCAACCCACCAGAATTAACAGCACTCTCTTTAAATTGTTGTACAATGTCAACAAAACATATGACACAGGCGACGCTCTCTTTTATGCTGGGCGATGCAAACGTCCAATCAGTGAACGGTGTGAAGGTGTTTACTTCGGTATTTTCCGGTGCGAGGGCAAAAAAGGTGACAGGAAGAGTTTTCATCGCTCGAGTAAACAGTAAATTAACGAATTTAGAAGAGAAATTTGGCGACGCTGGTCGGTGTCTGAAACCCCGGTAACCGGAGCCGCACTGGACCCAAGGCATCAAGCCGCTCAATTTTCACCAGGCCGAATACACTCGACAAAGGCGGCATTGGGTCCGCTCACAGATTTCCCACTGCCTTGACCACAATCAAGAAAGATTTGTAATGTGAGCAAAGTTGAACGGGATTGTAAAATCGACGGTAGTGATGACTAACATGCGTGATCTCTTTTTGAAAGAGTAATGTAGAAGTCAAAGAGAATGAAATTTCATCGTTGCGTTTTGCAAGCGTGACACCGAAGCCGTGCTCCAACTGCTCTTCCAGCCTCCGATTTGCGTCTTAATGACCACCTACATTACCATACGACGCAAAACAATAGCGCTTGCAAATAATTGGCTGCCAGTTCGGTAAACCAGTGGTGGAGTTCGTGGCTCCAGCAAAACAGCTGATTTTGTATCATTCCAGGGGAATACAAGTTTATATACCAATTAAAAACTACTAATCGAATCACCTTGGCCAATATTTAGATCTCGATCATTACAAGGGTTAGTTCATCTCGCAAGTCTACTCGCTGTGCAAGTTGGATGCTTGGTACCCCATTCCGATTGATTTTACTAGTTTTATGATCCGCAAGGAGGTGGTCCTTCAAGCAACCTAGTGGAACAAGCGTGTAGATGCAGCACCAAACAGATCTAATGCGTTTTGTGCTATGGCCCGGCTGGGATGAGTTGTTACCTGCGTAGATTTGGTCACTGACGGAATCTGTCGTGGTAATCCCATATGTATGGTCCTTCATGAAGTCAAACATAACGTCATCATGGCGGTGTAGCGCAATCGTTACGCAAAATACGATGATTGATGTTTAACCAATCCGTGGGGAGACCGGTCAAAAGTAATTTTGGATCGATATGATGATCTTTTCACAACATAAAGAACCACCAAAAGTCTTATTAATCGAGAATTAAGATGCAAACATTAGTTGTGTACGAAAAACCTTGCCAAGCGCAGCCTAAAATGCAGCGAACGAATGGATATTGCGATAATTCTGACCGAGGTGATTTCGCAATGCGAGGAGGCGATAAGCCAAGTAGGCCATTCTTGTGCACATCCAGTCACCGTTGAGCCGAAATTTCAATATTACGTTGAGGCTAAAGCAGCACATTTCAGAAAGGTACATTTCGAATTCCACTTTACTGCTTCTACTACGAATCCGTTATCAGCAAGACAAAGAAAAAACATCAACGAAGATCTTCAGGTGGTGGTGGTGGTGGTGGTGGTATCGAGGTGTGAACTGAGGCGTGTGATAGGCGATTTTGCTCTCCTCATTTCCAATAGAGCATCTCTTTCACTAAAATTAAATGACACTTTCAATCAAAAGGTCAAATCTCAGCATAAAAAATGAACACATTGATTTGCATCCTGTGGTAATTGTTCATCTTTGCGATTGGCGACCGAATGTTCTTACACATGTATATGAGTGTAGGCGCTAGAAGTGAGCAAATACATGGGCCCAAGGTTACGTAAAATTAGTTCCAGCGCTATTAAATCAAGGGAAACATGCACGGATAAGTTTTATACGGAACATGCACAGGTTTAAACTTTGGTCGGGTTTTTAGAAATAATCGGTCCCACAAAACCCATTACCTCGTGCCTACATTGGACTGCTGAAGGCAAAAGGATGTACATCTGTTACAATGTAAAATGTCAGTTGCCAAAGACAACCAGAATGTGGTAGAAAATGGTTCATTTTTTGGGGGAAAGGAGTCTACCTCTTTGCTGCACATCGACAAATGTTAAAGAAGTTAATTGAAAATATGAAAGAGAGGCATAAGAGAGTATCATCAGAACACGAGAATAGCGAGAATTAAACCACTCAACCGGCAGCAGTAAATGGAAGGTGTGAAATTTTTGAATTGACGCAAATCTCTCTGTAATTTACCTCGACGCAAGCTGTATTTTGAATCACGAACAGTAATGTGGGGCCGTGAGTACGTTAAAAATGGGTTTAAAAAACTCGCTACTGACGTGAGACACGATTACATAGGCTGCGCCAGACAGAACGTCAGGTGTCAAAATCAACCTTGTTAATTATTAAAAGTGTGCTAAGGCAGACGATACGCCGCATTCTTCAGTATTTCAACCAACCACATTTGAACACAGCCGCACTTAAGAGGAGCACTCGGGATAAGTCCACTTTCAACCGAAATCGGTGTGTGGGATATCACCAAAAGTAGGGCACAGTGTGGGTGGGAAAAAATAAGGTAGCAAAAATAGCCGCACTACATAGGACTGTGTCCTCTTCAATTATTTCACCTGACATACGTGACGGATTTAAGGACCAACGCTTTACACTCATTTTTATAAAAAAGGCCAGTCTTTCGCTTTTCCAACAAATGGCGTTGGGCAAAACTCATTGGAGAATAATAGGCATTTAGAATTTGGACTGCTGTTGATATTACCATAAGTTACCGAGTTTCTTCTAATATCCCAATTTGAATTTATCACCTTTAGACCGAGGAGGGAGAAGTAACAAAGAGTACTAGCTCATCAAAACGTACATTCACTTCGGTTTTGGGAGATTTTAAGGCACCAACGTGATAACCGTTCATTACAGTAATGGTGATTATTCTGAGAGCTGAACTGCCTGAAGGCAAGAAGGAAGCCTGCTTTGCGGAACCCGTAAAATAGCTTTATGACCTTGATCAAAGTACACCTGGGGATAAAAATCAGAGAGATGGAAAAGAGGAGGGGTTTCAATTGAATAGGGACCTACGAGGAGGACAGCAGATGCTATGAGGAGGCACTTCATGCGGAGGTCGAGGTCAATTGGAAAGAAAATCTGATAGCTGTCCATTCCCGCGAAGTGCTGCACTGTGAGTCGCCCAAGGGAGCCCCGTTCGGAGTGACATTTCAACTAGACCACAAAGCGTAGGAAGGACATATTCACTGGAAACATTTTGAAGCACACAATAGCTGATTGTTTGAACAGAGTGGCAAAGGCAGGCATACATGAGAGGTTTGGCTCGACAAGGACACATAACCCCGATTAGGTTTCATTCTTAAATCTTACGCTAATTAGAGTAAAAAAGACAAGTGACTGTAACAATGGTCTATGAAGTCTCTTTACGACAATTACTAATGTAGTGGACAAATGTGCCATCAGCACGGTTTGAGATGTGTTGGCCAAACGGAAGCACCGTTTCAATGTGTAACTCGTCATGACGATAGTGTGTGCGTAGGAAGAAATGCTTCAAATGGTAGGAGTTAGCCTTCGTGTGTTGTGGAAGACAGCAACATCGCGATGTGAAACACACAGATCGAGCGCTAGTGAAAATGTGAAACCTTAAACAAGACGTACTTTGAAGATGCCGTCAACATAGCGACTCTGGCGAATGCACGGTCCTAACAGGCGAAGCTGAGGCCTATCGATCGCATCCATCAGCGACAGACGCATTTTAGGGAGATTCGCTGACTGCGCAACCGTACCGTAAAAATCCTGTCCAGATGTGACGGAAATTGCCTAAAAGAAAATGGCACAACTGCGACTTGAGCGTCCAAACGGGTGTCAAAGCCTCGGGGAGGAATCACAACAGGGCAGGGCACGCCCGTACGAGTTTGGCCAGCGCGTGCGGAGGCCACTTGACACACGAACGCTTTTGACATCCTTTGACGCTTTCCTTCATGTTGCAATCTGTCTTGGCCCTGCAGCCACCTTTAGCATATCAACTAGAATAACAGGAGTGAACGATCTAATTCGGAAAAACACCCTAAAATGTCAGTCTCAACAGTCCGCGAAGTGCAACAGGGGCATAAGTCAACCTTATGAACGTTATTTTTTGTTTAATCGGTCAACGTAGGCGTCGTTATAGGGCTAGGGTTTTAGTCCAGGGATGATCGTTTGCTGTAGCTGGGTCTTAAAAAAATTAAGAGGAATAAAAGTGAAAACCACTGGGTTATATGGCGCCAGGAATGTTTGCTAAATCGGCATTCAATTCGTTTGGTGGTATTTTCACATGCGATATGGAGTTAGGGTTGGATAAATGATGTTATTCGTTGTTTCTGTACAAGCCACCTTAGCAAGGAATGCTCCAGTCAAAAAATATCGATTTTGAGTTGATGTAGACTTTAGTAGATCTCGCATTCGTGTGTGATCTTGAATAAAACCAACAAAAGGCGAAACATTCAATGACTGCTTGCGCTGGAGAAAATGAGCTTGCCCTACCGACAGTCAGGAAGGCCTTGAAAAAAAATAGTTGTCAGATACTTCTAATCGTATTGATCTGCGTAATCGAATTGGAGTTGGGAGTTGCGGAAGCTTAAGGCATAAAGCGAGTTAAAGGTCCCACAAAAACATTGGCTGGAGGCTAGAGAATGTGTTTTGGGTGAGTACTCGCCACAACCTGATCACACGGTGCGGCGATGGCATCAAAGACATTGTGAGACCTTTCCCTGCAACCGTGTATGTCACCTCTGTTGCAAGTTAAGCATCAAAACTGCACTAGGCATCACGGCATATTTGTCGTATCGCATTTCATAGAAGCACATGCATGACTTTGGTGGTTACTGCCTCCACAGAGGCGTCATCATTTTGATTTTTAAGCAAATCTAAATGCTTTGGACCGTTATTCATTCATTAAGAAACTAGGAAGCATGTAAATGAGGTCGGCGTCGAAACAACTGAAGTGGATACTACACAATATATCTCTTTTCCTGACAAAATGTATCCACATTTATTACACAACAAAGGAATTGACATGATGAGCCTTCATTTATTGTTTATAAAAACCATAAATGATTTAAATTTTTCCATAAATTTAAGCAATTGATGTGAGTAGGTTCACGGAAATTAACTGCAGTATCTTTAAGTCTTATACTAACGAGACCAAACTCCTTGTAACTGCCAGGTGTGGAGATAAACGATGCCAACTTAGGAATATCAGGTGGTACCAGAGCACAAAATGAATACAGTGCTTTAATGACAAACGCCATTTCAGGGACCCTTGAGATTTTTCAAAATATTCGAGAAATTGTTTATCTAATTAAAATTGACAACGTTCAGTTTTACTATCCAGAAAATTTTAACACAAAACGGAACCAGTATGAACTATTTGCTTTCGAACCTCACACGGTCACCTGACATTCACACATTCATCAATCATGTAGGCGAACTCCGAAATCCCACATCAAAGCAAGTACCTCTTTTTCTTCAAAGACCTTGGGGAAGGTTTTAAAATAGTGCTGAGGACAACGAAATCAGCCAAAGCTCTACTACAAAAGTGCTGAGTCGACGACTAAAGTGCACCCCGGTGATGCTTACGGAAGTGTGCGTTTCCTCTGCCTTGGTAATTTATTAAATAACTGCATTTGTAAATTAATAATTGCGCTTAGGAGGAGTAAAAACCATTCAGTAAAACTTGTGGACCACATTTGGAGACCAGTTTACTTGCACCAGACTTTGAGACATAGGACGTGAATGCTGGCACAGGCTAATAGCCCGTGGCAGAATGCGCCAAAGTTTCGCTTGCTGGCTACCACTAACACACACGTAACCCGCAAAATTATTACGGCATCATTAAAATTTGATGTGCTTGCGTACAAGGAATGACGAAGTTCCCAAACTTACTGGGGCCTTGCAGCAATAAAACAAGGGGCATCCAAGAGTCTTCTCCATTAATAGTACTGTTACCCCATCAGCATCGCGAAAGTCAATGTCAAACCCGTGAATTCGTTCTGCACACAGACGGCTGCACCAGCTGCTCGATTCCACACCCTCCAAAATCGGATTTCCCTCACTGTCGGTCACGTAGTACTTCCGTGGAAACGCAGAACAGCACTTATCTGAAAAAAGAGGATAACATTGCCTGTTTCCCACGGAGAGAACTTCCGAATATCTTGATAATGTGATTGTATGAATGTTACGTGCATACTCATTATGATGCTGGAGGAAGGCTTTACAGTTGAAACAGCTATGAAAAACCGCAAATTCATTAGAAAAGAATTGACCTTCAAATTGCCAGCGGGGTTGGACAGCGAATCTGTCGAATGAACGAAATCAAACGGCTTTTATAAGAACCCTTTTCATGAGCCCTCCTTATTCTTAAGTGTTTCTTCAAGAGACAGGAGTGACTAATACAAATTTCTATGTTAGTTGGAGATGGCCTGCCTTTCCCCGGTTCGCAGGGTTAGTTATAACGTCGAAAATATGCATAATAAGTTTGTGGAAGGCATCTGACTTGTTGGAAAATATGGAAAAATGGGTAAGTAGAATATTGGATGCTTTTCACACGGAAAACTTTTATCATCACGACCAATGAATCCGCGACTAAGTTCAATCTCCGTAACAGACCCCTCATAAAATGTAAACAAAATGGAGTGATTTATTTACAAATTCAACCTGCTGATTACAAAAACACTACAAGTGACACTGGGTCCCTTCAGGAACAATGTAGACGTCGCTAATAGGCATTTACAAAATTTCTATCCACTAGCTTAGAGAAAAGAATGTAAAATCCTTGCAATTCAAACAAAAAATAGTCCGAACCAGGTACTAATCATCCCCTAATAAAAATGCATCCTTCCATTCAACAGACAAAGGAATCGATTGCTGTCACGGTGACAGCCGAGATATGTTTTTGGGAGAGTTGAGTGTGGGAAAGAGTCACCTCACCGTATCAGGCAATTGTTACAAGAAATCTTAAATATTGGCTACGCAGCTTGAGGGACACAAACTAACAGTGTTTAAGGCGTTGCAATTAAAAAACGTAAAACATTGATGCAGATCGTTGCAGATTTTACCATTATGCTGCCCGATTCCAAATGAACCCAGTGGAGTATTTTCGATTTTACACAACGTTATTTTGAGATTAAGCCAGTGATTTTATTTAAATAAGAAAACGTTTTACCACATTCAATTAGACTAAAATTCCGTTAAAACTCCCGTCGCAGAAGGGGAAGCCAAAACAGTTTCGTTATAATGTCTGATTACTTTCAGTAGTCAATGATTGCGGTTGTATCGTAAGTCATTTGGTTCATACGATTTCAAATTTACGTACATACACTAATACGAGCTAGAAAAGGAGCCAGCCGAAAAGGCTGAGGAAGCATTTGGGCAAATTGCACGGATACAACGAGTTAGGACAGACGTGGTATGCTCCCGCTGGCTCCAAGCAATTCATTTGTCTCTGATTTACACTTTGGAATTTTAAGTCAAACTGATTTCAAGCTCATACAATTGTTTAAAAAGGGTCCGGAGAGAAAAAAAGCATTTCAAGCATAAAATGCGCAATACCTCAATTATGATCGATATATTTTCTCAAGTTTATTGGAGACTTACTTTCCCCTTCAATGGGTACTCGATATACACGAATCTGAGTACTTCGTAGAAGAAATTGAAGTCCTCGTGGTACATCAAAGTCTGGTAGTGCATCATTACCAGATCTAGGTTCACATATCACCTGAGTTCCCAAGCCAACGGACATCTAAAAACAAAAGCCTCAATAAATTTGAGTACAAACATGAGATTCAAGCACTGAATGGAGACAACAACAACAAAGTGAACGTCCCTAGGTGGCTTAGAGTTAACGAGTTTTAGGATATAAACACACAATTTTTTTTCACAAAACCCTTATATCAAAATTAAATAAAAGTTTAATTATTACTGAAGAAATAAATAAGGATTTTACGTGGAGAGGAGATAAATTTTTTGAGCTTACCTGTAAAATATAAACGCATGAGAAATGTTTTCGCTTCGTTGATTTCCTAGCTACATTATGCAGTTTTCGAAGAGCTCTTTCCTGTATCAAGCTTTTGATAGTGGCTAGCATCTTAATAAGAGCTCATATTTCACTCGAATAGCTTAAAGGAGAACATTACTGCAAATCTACAGCTTGCTTCAGGAGAATGAGCATAAATTTTTGACTTGTCTTTCAAAATAAATTGCTTTTTATTGGTTCGTTCACAAAGATGCAGTTTATCCAAAAGCAAATATTTCTATCAAGGCACATTGCTATCCGCGTAAAACTAATCTCACACTCTGAAGTAACACTCGGACATTAATTTCAAAGATGAGAAAAGGTCATTTACGACCACAGCATAAAACTAAGATATACTTTACTGAAAGTGATACAACTATGGCCTTTCGATCACGTGGCAGAATATTTATGCGACAAACACGTTAAAATTAGAAAGCCTTATATAGGATAAAGTTAGTTATATTACCACCGATATATCTGGGTCTTAAGTAATATGCAGCCCACACAATTAAACCACAAAATTAATTTTGTTCCTGGCTAAAATACTAGAAACACAAACACGTTATGGTGGTCCTTAAATGAAATGATACAATAGTAGAGGAATATCGCAATTTACGAGCGAAATTAATCACTGCCAATATATAGCCACTGAAGTCAGCTTTTTGAACTAGTCTAGAACAACAGATTATTTCGAGCTCAAATCGAAGAATCGATAGTCAATCTCGGAATTGAAAATACACTTGTTTTAGGTTTCATAAGCACCAAGCCCAACAATCTTTACGCCTCATATATAACAGGCAACTTGTCGTCAAAAAAAGAAAACTTGTCTGAAAACTTTTTACAAGAAAATCAGGAGACAACCAAATTGCAGGTGAATGGGAGCAAAATTGTTTTTAAAGGAAAAACGAAACTACAAAGGGATGGATATCTCATCTGTATGTACAGTCAGAAAAGCTTCGTATCATTAAACCTACTCATAAAAGTTGAATTTCAATAACAGAACAAGATTTTTCGGGAAAAGTGGTTCAGCTGTTTCGGATAAAAAATCGTAAAACAATTATGTCCAACTGCGATACCTATGTCCAGTTTATGAACTACGTCAAAAGGTTTAGCATCCCAACAAATACGCATTGATGCGGTTCAAAAATAATGCATATTTAGCTTTGTGTAGAACGACTCAAATGAATTCTAAACGCTTTGCACTTTCCTATTCGTCACAAAAGTAACAAATATATAATATGGAACAACTAAACAACGCATAAGGTTTCTTTAATTGAGCAGAAAATATGGACACTTACCATCGAGCCAAAAGGAAAGCGCGCGTAAAAATGCACAGCAAATTTATTGGAAGCTCTAGGTCGATAATTTTTCTCGAAGAAACAATACACAAATTTTTCAAGATGAGTATGTCGTTTGATGAGGATGATAGTGATAGTGTGCACCTATAATAAACAGAGTTGATAATAAGTAGGAGAAATCAGTAGTAAAATTCCAGATTAATTTAAATTTCACCAACATGGTGAACAACAGCTACGCCAAGATCTCCGTAGCATTACCAAAGGAAGAGAAGTCTAGTCGAATTTTTTTTAAATAGGCCTCTATGTATATAATTTCTAATAATAGACAAACTGAAAAAATGACCTGAGATTGTCAAATGCTTGGCGATCTAGGTAAGGTGGCAGAATTATGCAAAGATTAACTGTATCGTAGTCCTAAAAAATACGTAAGACGAGTTCATAAGACCAAACGATTGACGAAAAACCTGTTGGCACTAGGAATTTGTGGAAATGCAACACCACTTCAAATATTAAAATAGCTAATCGATAAAGGTGATTGCAAGAAGTTCCCTTTTATAAGAATCTTTACTGATTGGAAAGTTTTCTATTTGATTCCAGCGGACAAATTTACTGAAATCATGATGGCTTTCTGTAAAGTTGCGTTCAACTCAAGGCCTACTATTTATTAACTGTTTTTCTTTAAACACATCGGGCTAAATTTTACGTTTATCCAGAATAGAATATCCTCTTTTATTGATTCAGCTACAGGCTATTAGATGTTAGTTACGTGCTTGGTATGGCTGATGCATTAAATGGGATAAATCTAGCACTGAGTTCTTGAGAGTATTATAGTTGTTTAAGAAACCAACCTTGTAAAAGGACGCGAGAAAAGAAATCGAATTGCACAATTACTTTCCTGAAGCACTAAACATCTCAAATTATTTTTGCCTGTTCCTACCTAAACTTAATTACCATATAACTGTCTTCAAAATTGAATTCTGATTTATCCCAATTACTGGACCAAAAAATCTGTGTAAGTTTAAAGAGGCATCGAAAAATCAGAGACTAAGCCAGTTGGACTGTAAGTGATGAAGTGATAAAGCACAAGCTCGTTGGGAAGAATCTTCCGGCTCTCGGCATGTTGTCAACAGCACCAGTACCATTGATTAAAAACGACTTAGTCTATTCTATCCACGTATAAACCATAAATCGCGACTATCTGAAAGGTGGACACAAACACCACTAATCTTTTGCCAGGCTTTAAATTTTACGCATCAATAAATCGACAATCAGGATTCCCTCCGAGGTATCTTCAACAATTTCTAAGGAGAAATTTGATTTCAAATAACACCAATGCCTGTTAACCATTTGTGATCCATCTTGCTTACACTGTACGGTGGCGGATTTTGCTGGGTGTAGATTTTCGAACGGCGCAATTGTGGGATAACCGACAACAGCATTGGCAAAGTACCCGAAAACGGCTCACTTTGCTTAGACTTTAAGATACGATAAAAATCACAAGACGGGGAAGTAGGATAAGCAAATCCAGCCCACACCATTTGAATCACTCTTTTCTTGAATAAAATAGTTGCGCATGTCCGGTGTGATCTACACGAACCAGATTAATAGCAGTTTTGATTAATTGTAATTGTGAAATAGGTTGTAGTGGACAGGCATACATTTGTCTAGTAAAATTCCACAGGACCACTTAGAAGGAAAAACCATGTGACGACACAATGTACTCAGAAACTGCAGAAATGCAAAGCACTCGCCCAATGAATGCATTTAGGTGTCACTATTGTTAACATTTCAACTTAAAAAGCAATAGAGCTAAAACCAGCAACCAGGCACCACCTACAGTTACTATTATGTGCACTAAAACAACGTGGCTACACGTGACCGAGGGGACTTATGCTCAATCAGTGTCCGTAGAAGATGGTTGCCTCTTCTCAAAGAACGGTCCCCAATTCCTAATATCACCAAGCGAAAAATTTAAGATTACAACCGAAACGCTGTGGCAGAGGCAGGTAGGAAAGAACGTGCCAAAAGAAGTGGAGTCAGCAACAGAGCAAACTGTAGAGCGGCTAGAAACTTCGTCTTTTACCACCGAATTCGTCGCGTTCACCATTCACGTAGTTGACGCAAAAACATTAACAGATGTGTAAGTAAGATCGATTTTACTTAGAAATATGTGAACGAAAAAATGTCGGTATTACAAGCCAAAAGTGCCCAAGATTGGGGTTTAACAAAAAAGCAGGGAAGACGCGTAGCAAAGAGAAAAGAAAATCATAATTTTCGCTTTCAGTAGCCTTATAGGATGTGGAAGTGGAATAACACCAAACCGGTCAGCTTATAACTTGTAGGCGTTGCGCAGCATCAAGTCGAAGTATACATCTTCATCTATTGAAGAGCTGATTCCGCTATAGTAGTTCAAGAATTCCTGCCATGTCACCTGAAAATGCATAATTTCAAATATACAAAGAACTGCGTAAAAATTACTGGACCTAGTTAACAAACATAGCCAGCTTTGCAAATAATGGAAAATATAAATCGGATATCAGACACAGATTCAGGGCTGATATTTTATACCAAGACTGAAATGAAGCGATCAAAAAGTAGAAGGGCAAACAAAACCAGATGAAAACCTGACGCAGCAATACCAAACACGTTTGATGCGTGCTGCCAACCTCCTTCTACCTACTTGCCACACGTACTAAACTGCGGCAAATCACACATGGTTGGCTATCTTAATTGCATGACATAAACATTGCTTAGGCCAGTTCTTCAGATCAACAGAAGACTTGAATGATCTAGGCGCAAACACATGAACCACAAACGAGATAAGAAATGAGGGAACGAACCGTAACACAAAACAGAACACAAATATGGTCACATTCGCTTCCCACTTTGCCCAATAAAGTAATGCTGAGCAAAACTGTGCACGGTCAACCTTAAGAAATTGCGCTCAGTGAACAAGACGTGAGAAACGACCGAGGCAGTCGGTAGATAAAATTAAAACGATAAACGCTTTGGATTTATTGTCCACCGATAGTTAATATGAATTCAATGGCTACAAGATTTGTCATTCCTAAGTGACTTTTATTCATGGGCCCCACTGTAATGGATTCACACAAACAAAATTGGTGCTTTACTGTATTCTTGAGCACTTCAACACAAAGAATGTACGGATTTCTTGACAATGTCACTAAAAGACGTTTTGAAATGGCGCTCAGAGCAGACAGTTGAAACTGGATTAGTAAAACGGGATTCAAAACTCAGAATTATTAAATGGCAGACGGCTATTGTGCTTTCCTTAGCCTTGAAAATCACTGGACGTCGTAGTAATTTACCTGATTGAATAACGCAAACAAACGATTCGAACGAGGCAGTGACATTGAGCGGCGTGGACTTACAAGGTATGACGAAACTTCGACATTCCAAAGTCAGATATCGAGAGCCCTCAAGGGTCTAACTCAACTACATAAAACAATACCGGTCGTGAATTAGATCAGCACAATATTTCAATCAAAGTATTCTGTCGGAACTAAAATTAATCGAAGCACAGTCAATGCGTGCTTAACTGGATAGATAAAGAACAACGATGAATTTCGAGCCAATAATTAGAGAGTAAGGAAGACGATTCATGAAATCGAGGTGAAATACGACTGGAGATAATCCAGTCACCAAAAAGTAGCTGTAGTGAGGAAAAGTATGAAGTATGAAGGCCGATTAGACCTGGACTAATGCATAACTAAGGTGATTGAGTCGCGATAACAGTTCCGAATATTCGAAACGGTCCTAGCAACTTAGATCAAGATCACTGGAAAAAGTCAGTTCAGTGGAGGTTCTGAGCAACAGGCTGCTTAAAAGTGCAATTACGAGCTTTTAGGATGTCCTACAGGCGAAAATAGGAGCAACGGGTTGAAATTTGAGTGAATCAGTGTCGAATACCCACTCACACAATCCCAAATTATATTAAAAAGGAAATTATTTCTGCATCTCAGAAAGTCAAATATAATTTTACTCATAACGACCCTCTTACCATCTTAATATCTGGCAGCAATGATTTTCGTTAACTACCTTCAATTATGAAGTGGTTGGCTAAAGTCGAACTTGGTCCCAATGGTAAAAGTCAGGCGACTAACGACTAAAATCCACATGGTCGTCATAAAAATCAAGCAACGTCACGAATTATGACACGAAAAAATGTTAAAAATGGAGCATAAGCAGTTTAAGGTCTAATATTGTGATAGCATTTAAGAGAGACTTTTCAAGCTATCCTATCAAGAAGACATTGGAAAAAAATGTACTAAAAGCGATCACAAGGTAATAGAGAAAATGCAAAAAACCGCAAAACATCTCATGTAGAGCAGAATGACAGATCATAACACAAAATAGCAGTTAATTAGAACAGCAAAATTAGAGGTGCACTCACTTTCCCGTCAACCTCGCCCCTAGATTCAAATGTTTTTAAGTATTCGCGAAAAACGTCTTGCTCAGTTAATTCCCCATTTTGATATTTCGGGTGACTCCTTGCATTGTAGACGCCTTTGAGGTCGTCAACCTAAAAAGTGGACAAAAATAAACCATACGAACTGAAAATACTTGGAGTCGTCAATGACAAACTTTGGAGACCACGTGCCTGACCTCATAAAAGAAAAAAACCCAGTAGTATGTGACCGATTGACTATACCACAAAAGCGGATGACATCATATTAGCCAATTGACCTTACAAAGGCGTGTAAATAAAAGAACACTGTGCGCGTCGTTTAATGAGTAGGTCTAAAACAACTTGATAGGCGTACTACGTCATATTGTGGATTATCCCAATGAAGTTTCAGCTATTACACATGGAGAAAATAAAGATACGTATTCGAACATTGACAACTTACGGTAATTACTCCATCACCAGTTTTGTCCAATTTCTTAAAGGCGAGTTCTACTAGTTTTCTACGGCTTTCGGGCATTGGAGGCTTAAAATTAGGATTGTAATCTTTCATACCCGTAAAGCTTCAAGAAATTCATCAAAATTGAGTGAACCCGAACCATCGCGGTCAATCTCAGCAAAAAGGCTGTCGACTTCTTCATTTGTCAGACCCGTCCCAAATTCCTTGCATACCTTTGCAAACTCCTCTTTCGATATCTGTTTGTTGTTGTCGTCATCTATTATGCGGAACTGTCGGCCAAGTCCATTTATTCCACTTGCACCACGGGAGAGACATACATAACGCAATTTCTCAAGTGGAGTTTTGGCTTGAGCTAATTTGCGCTTGCAATCTAATTGAAACTGTTTTTGTTCATTAAGTGTTAAGGCCATCTAAACTCCCAAATGTGTAAGTAGTTCAAAGAAGGTACCTAGGACAAAGCAGAAGTAAGCACGAGGCAAGCCGTACCCAACTTCGAGCGGAGCGGTAATTCAGGGACAGATTGTGATAATTACTAGGTAAAACAATTGTGAACAAAGAGTGGTTCGTCAAGAGCAGATCATATGGCCTGATAATGTGTGCATAAACAACTAAACCTCGTCCTTGAATAATAGGAATAGTAACCATTAATAGAGGAACTGTGACTGCGACCGAATTATATAAAAAAATTTAAATCCATCATATGAATTTCCGAATTTTTGCAAATATGTCTATAAGAACTAGCATGACTATATTAATAAATAATACATGCCAATCTAAAAGACAGAGAAAAAGATAAATAAAGTCAGTATAATATAGTTGGTGCAAACATCAGTAACTTAATTGTTGAAAATGTGTTCACGATCAAAAGACTTACTATTTTATTGTAAATAATTGAAGTTCCTAAAAATTAGATTTTCCCATGGAATCATTTTGGAGAAATTTTGATAATAAGCTACCCTCACACTTCAATTGACTCTCTTGCCATCCTAACCACAGGCGAAAACAGGATTGGATTTCGTTTCAAGTTTTTAGTCTTCTAGGCCCTAACGAGTCCTTGCCACAAATTCAATGATGCTAGTATTAAAGGTATCGTTATCAAATTTTATTTCCAATCCTGTCTTTACGACTTGGAAAAAATTTAAACAGTCCGATAGCAATAAATCTTGTTGGATGGAACAGAGGGAAAACAAAAATACCTTTCGCTATCTAAAAAACATTTCGCCAAAGATTATTCAATGCATAACATTTAACGTAATTTTTGACAAAAGAAACTCAATTACAAGATTCCGATTGTGTAAAAAATGTGATAGAGAGGCAGCGGGCACCAACTGATTTCAAAACAGAGTGAATACCTCGTGTAATTTGCACAAAATACTCCCGTTAAGCAAAATATTAGCGTGTTAATGAATCCACCTTTCGCAGTCATATTCTCCTCCTTCCACCTATCGGTTCGTTCACCCTTGGGTTTATTACTTTTTCGATCAGTACCCAAGGCCGACCACGCCATGAATAAGCCAGTGCATGTGAAAGTGAACTCGACCTCGGCTGAGACGGTAGAAACCCTTTGCACAAGGTCTCGTTTAGCACCAGTGTGGGGAATCGCTGACTCAAAAGTGCTTTGTTGGTGTGGCAGTGTAGGAAGCTCATCGTGTACCAACAAAGGGGGTTCGGGTCTGTGAACCGGAACCAGTAACAAAGACCTAGTTGGCACTGTCGGCAATGCAGGCAACCAGTACACCCCTAATCGAATCAGTATTCACAACAGGAATTGACATCCTTCGGACCTGGGTAAGTTGATACGCCTGCTTATAAAATCTAAATACGCGAGTTGCAAGCGACGGCGTTCCGACAAGCGAAGCACTCCGAAAGTCTGGGAACACTGGAAATTACACTCAAACCAAATACAAAAACTAAAGAAACAATAGGGCAAACAATGAAATCCCCGACATGCTCAATTCCCCTTCTTCTTAAGCTAATAAATTAACCATAATTTTTGAACTATCGACTCGATTTCGCAATCCTCCAAAATCACCAATTCATCGATCTGATTTTCTGGTTCCTCATTTACGCACTTTACCCACTTCTGTCCATCCAAGTTTTTGTTCCCACTGGTATATTCGCCATCAGTTGCTTTATGCGGCTCAAGAGAGTTAACTGACAAGTGTGCCTTAGGTGGAACAAAAGTAATGTATTAAGTCATCCCAACAGTAGTTGGAGAGCAAAGTCGATATCACCACCAGTGGCCTCGAGTGCCTGCGCAGCCGCCGCGTTGTCCGTGATACCCATCTCGGCCAGAATGGCCAACTGGGGTGCCCAACGCTCGACGGGCGGTGGCCTCGTGGTACCATCGACCTCCATTGGCTCAGAAGTCACTGGGGAGAATGCCGGGGCACTTGGAACAGGGTTCTGCAAGAAAAATGGCGTTGTTCCAGAAATGAACACAAGAGCGGGACGCTACCTACGTACAATTAAACTTGGCCTATCACCTTTTCACGACTACTCTGTGGAACTATGAAGGTAATTGACTCAATAACTTCTCCAACCTCGAATCAAATCAACGTTGACATTTATTTTTAGGATCATGATACGGCTTCTTTTAAAAATATAATCCAAATAAACGGCACTACTCAGATTTTACACCAAAGTGGACAGATTTGCAAGGCAGTTTGGGGCTACCTTTATTAATAATATGCAAGCCTAAAAATTAAAATTTTCGAACTGATTTTGTCGGGTTATTAGTCATAAACATCTCAAAGGCAACTCTACGATGTACGTGTTTATCATTAATCCGAAAATTCTCGCTACATGCATGCAAGAAGAGAACGTTTTGAAATGACAGATTCACTGTATCCTTCTATTGACAGAGAGGTAGCAGCCTAAGAAAACAAAGCAACGTGAATAGAAACCCTGAACCTACCGAGTTTTGATTATGATTCAACGTGCATTGGTAAAAAATAAGGAAGAACACAACCAAAGTTCATTTTAGAACTAGCGAATGCAAACGAATGATGGGAGAAAGACTGTTAAAGAAACACGAGCCAAGTTAACATTACCGTTTAAAGCACATTGGCAATAAGAAAACAAGCTGCTTAGATAAGTATACATAGAAATCAGTTAAGGCATGAGATACAAACGTTTGTGGGTACGATACTCACAGCAGACTGTTGATGCCCTAACGCATTGGATGCCTGCGCCACGGCAGCACGCAGAGTCTGCAAGTCGAGTTGCGGCTGTCTGCTCGGCGCGGACAGAGCAGCGGCGCGTGGTGAGGGGCGGTGGTCGGTGGCGTTCGAACCACGTCCGACGGCGTCATTCGTCTCCCCACTCAGTCCCAGTGGATTGACGCCCCCCTCCTCTTCCTCGTCGGAGGTTGAGGTTTCTGCTTCCTCGCGAGGAACATTGTACTAAACGTTTACACCGCATAAGCCAATTACTACTCAAATAACTGCTATCGTCACAAACTGGAACACAATCAACGTGTTTGGGACGAATCGTTTGGGTTGAATAGAAGGAGGCAAAAGGACTACATCTTACTGAAAGTATGAAGAACACTTGGCTGCATAAGAACGCCAATATTAATGAGGTTAATAATGGGAAGCACCGGCTACACAAACTCCGTTGCATTGATAAAATCAAGAATGAAGGAATTTGTGGATGCTAGTTCACTAACCATTCAAGAAATTAAGGTTCATAGTAAATAGAAAGGTGAACAGAACATCTGGAAAGGTTGACTTCGTTGAGTTACCAAAGTAGAAACTCATTGGGAATCAATCTGAATCCATTCACAATTTATTTCGAATGATTCACCATTGTGGGAGAAGGCAAATTACAAGACTGAACTCGTGGTGGCTTTGATGACGCGATCCAAGCACCCAGAAAAACGTTCAAGGAACTTATTGCTGGGGATGATTCCAAAGCACTAATTATAATTTGTAGCGTATAATGAAGGCAATGCTTGCAGCTCAGATAAACGCCCGATGAACAAACAGCATGAACGACCTACAAGTGACATATGTTAGATGGGAATGGCACTGACCCGGTGATGTGGGGCAGGAACGATTTAGCTGAGAACCAACTTGCCTGGTCTAATGAAAAATTGTGCTCACTCAGGATCGCTGATTCTCCGCCCACTTCAAGAGCTCGTGAAAGTGAGGCACCAGCACTGATGGATGCTAGAAGACGATCGTTTACACAGTAAATCGCTCGATAGAGGCAAGAGTGTCCAGCTGCAAGCCTACGACAGACAGAGATTGAGGCAACCACTTCAGACACGCGATTAAAATTTGATTCGCCTTCGCATATTACGACATGAAAGCTGAGACTTCTGTGGCCTAGATATCAGTGTCGTCCGATTAAGTTCAATACACAAGCTAGGCGGGATGGGTCTTTGGGCATGAACAAAGTTTGGTAGACGGTAAATGTTGTTGATAAGTGTGTTCTTAAAATGGTACGGGCTCCATTCCCACACAGGAGCTCTCAAGAACTAGTGATCCTCGAAAGCGAATTAGCAATAATTGCAAACCTGTGGTGAATTTGATGCCATATGGCTGGTTTCTACGACGTTACGTTAAGCAACCGAACATCTTTACTTCCGCTACATGCCACATGAAGGTCGCTTAAGGTAATATCTAGTCGCAGTGTTTGAATGGGCGACTGCAGTGGAATGGGAAAAATACTGACTTTTGAAAAGTTTTTTTGTCCCGTAGTACAAACGCGAGCATGTGACGATCGTGGAGGAGGTCAAAGGCGAAGGGATCGGGCTCTGCAGCCAGGCACTTGACCGCAAGTTCGTTGAGCCATTGCTTGTCGTTTAATAAGGCTAGAAGCTGAAAAATAGACAAAACCGTATTATAGCTGACCATATGCTGGAGAGCATTCGCAATGTGTCTTTGGAATCGTGGTTATCAAATTTTGAACTATTCAGAGCTGTTCAAGCAGAATCTTATACCATGCATTTAAATTAACCGAGCGTCCACTAACCAACCTATTTGCTGACATCGATTCTTTAAAAAACCCGAGCTTAGAAAAAACAAGGTTAAGCCGAAAAACACGAGCGCACTTTGTCGTGGTGTTTCGAGGCGCGCCTGAAAAATCCGCGTGGAATTCGCGGTGGAACCTCGCCCGAAGTTGCCGGAGCGACCCTTCGCGGCTTCAATACAACGGTCAACGAGGGCGATGAAGAAGATTCTGTCAGAACTTCTGACAAGGGCTGCGTAGCGTTCAAAAGGTTCGTATTATGAATGACAGCTGAAAAAAGATTCCAATAGCAGGAAATCTAATATTAAAGTAAAGGTAATTCGCCAACTTTGTGAGCAAGTCTTTTACCTCCAGTCAATCAGTGATCGAGGCATTGAAATAAACATCAATGTTGCAACCATCAACTATCATGAAGGCACGCAATTCACGACAGATTATCGTTTACGAATATCGATAAATTCTGTCGTCAGTAAACGTTTTAGATGTTCACAGTTACCTGGACCTGCCGGAAGAGCGCTTGTCAGAACCTAAAATCAGTCTTTTACAGTGAAATACGTGAAACTAGTGCTGCAGTGCAAGCATATGGTGTCAAATAAGACCTCATTTTGTGAAATAGTGCTCCTTGTGACTCCTTAAACATCAGCTTCATTTTGAGAATCTACTCCACCGAAAAAATCGTGGCTAACACTCACAAGCATGCCACAAGTCACAACTTACTAATTTCGGAGTTCCCAAGTTGCTCCTGGTCTTTCACCAGCAGTGGAAAGATGCTAGAGAGTGGAGCAGACAGATCAGTGACAGTGAGGTCATGGTTGGAGAGAGCATTCACAGGATCTGTCAGATCCATAACGTTCGCTCGTATGGCCCATGAATTTTCCATTTTCTTATCTTCTGAAATGACAGAAATTGAGTTTTAATGTAAACGAGCACAGTGAGGGCATAAACGGGTATTGTCGCCGACTCTAATTAACATGCTGGGAGATTGAAGCTCTTTGTGAACTTAAGGAACGGTCTTAATAAAGAACCTATAGATTAGCTATAAGAAAAACATTACACATCCGGAGATTGCTAGCGCGGAAAGGCAAAAATAAACGTTGACTTTACTCAATACATTTAGTTTTCGATGTGAAAAAAACCCACATGTTGACTCAGTGTTAATAATAGCAGCCGCTCATGGTCTGAAACTTAATGATGAAAAAGAATATATATATATATATATATATATATATATATATATATATATATATATAACAGAAGAAACGACAATCGATC